GTCATGATCGCCTGAGTCTCTGATGACTAGTATTCTTGTTTGTTCCTTGACAACACTGATGTTTACTGGTCCAGGAGGCTTCTCTTTGGTTCTTCTCAACCCAGACCACCTGTGTTGGCAGGGCCCTCACCTGGGGCTGGGGAAAACAAAGGTCCTGTGAAGGTGAGCACCTTGTTCCAGAGGCCCTAGCCCATTAGGTGAGAGGATTCTTATCTCAAGACACCTCTGCCCTGGGGTGTCACTGCCACCCTACCTCTGGAGTAGAACAGAAACATGGGGTAGACAGGAAACACGTGAGTGCTCAGTGGAACCCAGTTCCATGTCATTCTGCCCTCTTCTCCAGCTGGCGCCGTGGAGAGGGTGAGACAATCAATCCTGTGCCCAGCCCACCACCGCAGGGTTGGGACCACACGACCTGGTGTTCAAGTGTGCTCAACTGTGGGTGCTCTTCTGGGTGTGGGGGTTATACCAGTGAATAAAACATGAATTCCTGTCCTCAGGGGGATTCCATTCTAGTCAGAAAGCACAATGATGATGCTCTCTGGCCTCTGCAGTCCTACTTACTTGGCCCCAAACCCAGAGTGCAGAACCAGAATCTGGGGTCCAGGCTTAGAGTCTCCATCTTGCCATGGAGAACCCAGAGCCAGCGCCCAGAACACCAAGAACAGAGCCTGATCCACCAAATCCAGAACCTAGAGCTTAGAGCTCAGAACCCAGAATTTTCATCTTGGAACTCTGAGGCTGAGATGCCAAACCTGGACCTCAGAATCCAGATCTCAGAACATGGGGCCCAGAATGTGGGGCTCCTGAATTGTGGATCCCCAAATTTATAACCTTGAACTTGGAGCTCAGAACAAGCTGAGAACATGGCCTAGAAGAACCTAGATCCTGGGCCTAGAACATGGCTCTGGACCTGGGGGCCAGAATCTAGAGCCCAGAACCACCAGTGAAAGGTCCCCATTTCTCTATTTCTCTCCCAGCCTATCTCCTTCCTCCTGCCTGCCCACGCCTTGGGGCGCCAGCACCAGGCACTATCAAAGGTGCCAGGACACCAGCAACAAGAAACAGGTGCAGATCCTGTCTCCTTGACATCAGGTGCGAGAGAGGAGGGCCTGTTTGTCCCGTCACTCTTGGATCCCCAACACCTCTGGTGGACCCATTTATTTCACAAATGTTTCTTGACCCCACTTGTTCTTGGTGTTTGGTGGGGGCCGAAATGTACAAAGAGCACCTCTCTTTGCTGCCGGGAAGCTCTTGGAGGGCAGGGGCTATTTCTGACCAAGGAAGGCTGGGGTGGGAGAGGGTGAGGTGGCATGGGGAGGGGGAGACCTCCAGGAGTCAGGGTAACTTGCTGGCTCTGGAGGTCTCAAGTTCAAGCCCCAGCAGTTCACTTCAGAGCAGCAGACTTAGGCCCAGGGACCTGCTCCCCACCAGGTCCCTCCTCTGTAAAATAATCAGCTCCTAACAATGACCTGCTGCCAGAGTCATTGTGTGGGTAAACAGTTTCAATTTTGTGGCCTCAAAGCTCCCCGGCAGGGCAGGGCAGGCAGGTCCAGTGGCTGGCCTGGCCGGGCCATGGCTGCCTTTATGATTCCCTGGGGCCTGGCGCCAGGGCTCCTGGGTGGGCCGGGCCTTGTTCCGTGTGCTTGCACCCAGGTGGGGCTGGCTGCCCGGGGCCCTTTCCTCCCGCCAGGCTGCTTCCAGCCTCAGCATCTCACCCCCATTTTCTGCAGGGAGAAAGCACCCTGCCTTGGTAATCCTTAAAGACCAGCTCTGTCCTCAACTAAAGTCCCTCCTGCCTCCTTGGGCCCACCGCTGGGAATGGGGAAGGGAAACAGCCTTCCGGGTCTCCAGAGGCACAGAACTGACATGGCCCCAGGGGATAAGATTTGAGAGGAATCCACCTGGCAGAAGGACAAACTCATCAGAGACACAGGAAGGAAGACGCAGGACAGGGAGCTGTTTCCCAAGGAAGGGGTCAGATCCTAAAGGAGTTTGTATATCAGACAGTACCTTGAAAGTCTAGTAGGCTATTTATTTATTTATTTATTTTTGCAAAATGATAAAATGATTCTATACTTTATCGGGGTGGGGGTGTTTGGAGGGGGGGAAACTTACAAGACCAGCAGAACAGGTCAGAAAATTAAGGAAAGTAAATGGAAGTGTGTGTGTGTGTGTGTGTGTGGAGGGGTGTGTGTGTGTGAAAGCGGTTGCGTGAAACACTTTCCAATATTAAACAAGATTTTATGATCACAATAGTTCAAACTTGGTGATTCTGTTGTAAGGATAAGCAGATCAATGGCTCAGACTCAGGTAGGCTGAAACAACGCTATTCTTTACAAGATAATGGATGATAAAGTAGGCATCCTGAATCAATGCAAGGGTGCAGGATTATTCAGTCTGGTGAATCTGGAGTAGGTGAAAAACCTACTCAGAGATCTGAAACCAGCAACCTATGACCTTATTCAGCCAGCAGATAAGTTTGATTTGGACTATGGGACATTTTGCAAACACAGGAATGAGTTACAAATGCTTTTAAATAAAAACTTTCACTTTCAGAAAGGCAGCAGGTGTGGCCCCAAGAAAACAGTGTGTTTGCAGGGTCATTTCTGCCTCTTTTAGCCCAGGTGAAGCCTCCCCAGGAAGCTGCACCTCCATCTCTACCTGGCCCCTCGTGCCCATGCCTAGGGGGGTTTGAATCCTGACATCATCACCCAGCTCCTGTTACACATTCAGGATTTATTGAGTTAGTTTTGAAATCAATCATTGCAACTAACCTGCTGTAGCACCAGACTGGTTCCTGCACAGAAAAACCGGCAGAGGAACAATGCAAACCTCAAGGCTAAGTTCAACCTTTCTAGGAACCAGAGAAGGAAATGGAAGAGTAGCTGAATGTGCAAGGTGTAAAAACTTTTGTGGGGGTAGAGGGAGGAGAGGGCATAGGGAGGGAGGGGTTGTTAGGATAATTTGGGATAATGCTTTCGAAATGAACCCTGAGATAATAATTCCAACCCCAAGACTTGATTGCTAAGTAATCATCCAAATGCCTTTGGCAAGAATGCTGGCACAGAGCTGTTCAGGACAGAATTCATTCCGATTTATTAAAACCAAGAGATTGGATACACTCTAAATGTTCAGCGAAAGGGCGTGGTGAGCTTACACACCCCAAATAATTGAAAACAGGGCCTCACGCAGGTATTTGCTCCCCCGTGCTCATAGCAGCATTATTCATGATAACCTAAAGGGAAGCCTGTGTCTACTGTGTCTACCCTGTGTCTACTGATGAGAGAGCAGATAAAAAAAAAGGGGTCTGTAATACCATGAATTACCCAGTCTTAAACGGGGAAGGAGATCCAGAAGGCCTGTAAGTATAGGGGAAAATGTTCCGCACCCCTTTTCATAAAGAGACACAGGTCAAAACCACAATGAGATGTCATCTCACACTGGTGAGGATGGCACATATTAAAAACACTCCCAACAACAAGTGCTGGAGAGGATACAGAGAAAGAGGAAATCTAGTATACAAGCACCGACTGTACCCAGTGCTTGTATAAATAAAGAAATCTAAAAAAATAATCTTGCTATTAAAAATAGAGCTACCGTATGACCCGGCAATTCCACTCCTAGGGATCTACCCAAAGGACACAAGAACATTGATTCAAAAGACCGCCTGTCCCCCTCTGTTTATTGCAGCACTATTTACAATAGGCAAAACCTGGAAACAACCCAAATGCCCAAAAACAGATGACTGGATCAAGAAGATGTGGTACATACACAATGGAATATTATTCAGCAATCAAAAAAGATAAACTCATGCCATTCACAGCAACGTGGATGGAGCTAGAAGGAATTGTGCTCAGTGAAATAAGCCAGAAGGAAAAAGAAAAATATCAGATAATTTCATTTATAGCAGGAATATAGGGGAACCCAATAAGACATCGGTGTAAAAAAATAATAACAGTACAAAGCACAACAAAGCAAAAGTGGACAATTATAAATCAGCAACATCCTGCAGGGGCGGAGGAGGGAGAGGGGTCAGAGGGAGGGAGGGAGGAGCACAGGGGACTGAGGTGATGGTGCACAGGTGCCCTGGGGAAGGAAACTCTATGGGGACTCCACCTGAGGGGGTGGGGGGAGCAAACATTATTTAAAAATGAACAATGATGTAAAAAAATTTAAAAAATTAATAAAAAATAATCTTGACTATTTACCTTAAAAATAAGGTAAATAGCTAAATATGTATAGACCAATAAAAATGAGCACTCTAACCCAGAGTCAGCCAGCCGCAGCCTGCCGCATGTGGGAACTGGATATCTACTTGAGAGATGAAGTAACTGTTTAGAACTGTGAGGTACGCAATGGAAAGATGAGGTACATCCATTGCCAAGCGGCCTGGAGAGCTAGGCTGGCATGCGTGCATGATAGGAATTAGGGCTTCCCTGGGGAAAAACCGAAAAGGAAGGAGACTGTGACATGGCCTACAACATGGGTGCACCTCGAGGACGTCACGCCGAGTGAAATCCGCCCACCACGGAGGCAAAAGACCAGATGCTTTCGGATTCTGCTTCTATGAAGAATCTAGAGAAGTCGGTGTGTGGAGACGGGAAGTAGAAACGGGGGGTGCAGGGCTGGGTGGGGAGCTATGCTTCCTAGGTATAGTTTCAGTTTGGGAAGATGCAAGCGTTTTGAGCATAGAGGGTGCTGGTGGCGCCGTGTGAATGTTCTTCATGCCTGAGCTATTCACGCGTAAAACGGGAAATATGGCCAATTTTGTGTGATGTGTATTGGCCACAATATTAAAATCACGGTGGGGGGCGCTTGAGGACACCCACTAGCAAGTGTGTGACGTGCCTCCTGAAGGTTATGTCCTTAGGGCCAAGCCTCAGGGTGAAAGCGTAGAATATGATGCCAGCAGCGACCACAGCACCCAAGGGGAAGGGGTTTTCGCTGTCATCGAGCGCCACCGCCACATGACAGATGATTCTTCGTGTCTTCTCCCATTTTCCAAATGGTCCACCCACCATGAGGTGTAATAACTTTAATCATTACACAGTGGGAGATCATTTGTGAAACTCAAAATACAAAAATGCAAGAGATAAAAATACACTCCCCACCAAAAAAAAATAAATAAAAAGAAGAGAGGAAGAAAATCAAAGGCTATATGATAGGTCCTTCCCAGTAGTAACGTAAATAAACATCTGTTAAACATTCCAACAGGTGCTCAACCTCTGCAATGATCCAGTGCTTGCAAATCGAACAAGAAAGGACCCCTTTTTGCCTCTCATTTGGCACAAGTGGAACAGGCTGGCAGATGAGCTGTGATAGCGCCGGTCGGTCGTGGAGGTGAGACGTCGTCGTTGGGCCAAGTGCCTCGGGGGTCTGGTCCAGCAGCCCCTCCTTTGTGCATTCACACTAGGTGACAAAAAGCAAAATGCAGGTTTTTTTTTTTGGGGGGGAAGGAAACTTCAGAATAATATCTAAGCATGACTCTTTTTATTTTGTTTATTTTTAAAAAAAGATTTACGCATACAAGAGCTGGGGTACAGGCCAGAGGTGTGGGGGGTGAGAAGATTCACCAGAGACGGAGTGGGGAACAGAACAGGCAGATTGACCGAAGTACACTGCTGAGGGGAGCAGCGGGTGAGTCAGGGGAGGTCTGCTGTGCCATGTGGGTAACTCCCTGGCCAGGTATCGAACTCATGCTGCAGAGACTGCGGACAGCTTCATAAGTTGCGTCTTAACCCCTTGCGCCACCAGGGAGGCCTGACTCTTTTTATTTTAAAATGATTTGTGTCCAGACATAAAAAAGCATCTGGGAAGTGACATACGTAGAGTGTAACAGCTGTTAGTTCTAGGAAGGGTGATGCCAGGGGTTCAGGAGAGGAGGGGACCTGTCACTTTAAAAACTTGTGTTTTTGGACCTCCCTGGTGGCACAAGGGGTTAAGCCACAGCACTACGAATGGATCCCCAGCCTGGAAGCTGACCCACACGCAGCAGGCCTCTCCTGTCTCGCCCACTGCTCCCCTCAGCAATGTATTTCCATAGATCCACCTGTTCTGCTCCCCACTCTGTCTCTGGTGACTCCTCTCACCACCCCCACCCCCGTACAGCTGGCCTGCACCCCAGCTCTTGTATGCATAAATAAATAAAATAAATCTTTAAAAAAAACTTGTTATTACTTTAGAGTGTTATGACCATTGGACACTTCGGTAATTTAAAAAATAGTCGTTAACAAAAACCTGTTGCTTTTTTTTTTTTTTTCTTTTTTTTTGCCTTCTACCTATCTGATCTCTCCCCCTGGGATGTTTTCTCACTCAGGCCTGCCTGGAGAACTCTTCACTCTTGAAATCTCCCAATCTAACATCCCACGGGAAGCCTTCCCTGAATTCTTGCTCCTGAGCCCCTAAGGGTCTCCCTAACCAGTGTCTCCCAGGACAAGGCCTGCTTCTCTCTTGCTGTGCAGCCTCGAGCAAGTGGCTTAACCTCTCTGAATCTTCACCCCTCACCAGGAAGATAAGACTGCATCTTGCAGGGTTGTTGTAAGGATGATAGAAAGGCATCGTGTTGTAAGGATGATAAGAGGCAGGGTCCTCAGTCCTAGGAGAGACCACCCAGCAAGGAGACCTGCCCTCTGATGCACTTCACTGGGCTTCAGACTGAGCCCCCAGTCTTCAGGACTCCTACAAGGCCAGAGGTTTTGGGTTCCTGGGCAAACTGCCTGCCCTTTCTGCTCCTCCTTCCTCCATAGGACTTAAGGCTGCTGGGGCCCCTGGGAGTGCCAACAGGATGCCCCTGGCTATTTGGTAGGTATGTTTAGTATTTCCCCATTCCTGCCCCCAAGCCAGCAGGGTACCCACAGATCATCCTTCCTGTATAGCCGGGGAAACTGAGGGTCTATAAGGGAAAGTTGGGGGGATCTCACTCCCTGGGAGGGGGCAGAACAGGATTTTTCCCACTGGTATGCAGGCTGGATTTGGGGGGGTTGCCTCCCTGGAGAGGGGACATGGTGCACCCTGCCCAGCTGCTTCCTTCCACTGCCCCATCTGTCCCTCCCACAGCATAACCCCCTCCCCCCAGCGCACACTGCAGGGCTCCCGAGGGGACCCTGGGAAAATGCTGCCCTTGTTCCTTCTCCCTGCTCCTCCCCACCAGGCTTGGCTGTGCTGATGTGGGGGGCAGGGGCTGTGATGCAGGTTTACCAGACTTCGAGGGGATGCTGGATGGGCCTGTCCCTTTCCTCAGAATTTGCACATACACAGATCATGCCACCACCCCCGCTCTGACCTCAGTCCCCCACCCAGCCCTATCTCTTCTGGTTTCCAGTCTCCCCTGGTGCCCCACGACCCCTATCTTCTGCCATAAGGAACTTAACCTTTTCATCGAAATTATGAATTATTTCAGATATTCAAACTCTAGCTACTAATAGAAAAAACACCATGTCCCCCACCCCCAATGTAGTTTCTGATGCTGTGTAACAAGTCCCCACACACTCAGCAGCTTAAAACCACACATTCGCTGCCTCCTGGTCCCTGTGGGTCAGGAGTCCAGGCACCATGTATAAACATCACATAATGCATCTGCACATTCTCCTGTTTTCTACTCACCAACAGGGCAGCAACGGTGTTTTTGTTCCTATGGCTACATATGGGGACATTTCTGGGGACTTAAACCTAGAAGTGGAATTAGTGAATCAAGAGACTTGACATCTTCATATCTAGAAGGCCAAAGAATTTTCCAAAATGTTTGCTCTAATTAATATCCCATAGGCAGGGGATGGGAATTCCAGTTGTTTCCTGTCCTCCCCAACACTTGATAGTGTCAGATTTTTATATTTTTACCAGTTTGTTGGGTATGAAACTGAATCTCATTATTGTGGAGAGACCTTTCTAGAATATGTACCCCCTGGTCATCTTCACCCACCACCACCTCCTCAGGCCCAGGCACTGAAGTTTTGTGATTGCCACTTTTCTCATTGGAGCCACACCCAAGTTTTGAGGCTCCTGCTTTAAGAAATAGCAAATACACCACCTGTCATTTTTAGGTGTTGAGACTGAAGAAACAGATGCCTGTGGCCACAAAATATAATGCACTATAATTGTGCTCATCAGATGATGATTCCAAGGTTCCAAACTGGGTTCTCATCCCAGCACTGGTAACATTAGGGCCCAGATTGTTCTATGAGGTAGAGGATTGTCCTGTGCATCGTAGGAAGTTTAGCATCACCCCTGGTCTCGCCCTACGAGATGCTGTAGCAGCCTCTCCGGTCATGACAATTTAAAATTGTCAAGTTATTGCCAAGTGTCCCCTGGGGAGGAGGGATTGTCCCTGTTGAGAACACTGGCTTAGAGATGAATGCACCAAGGACAAGGTGGGCTGAAATTGGGACACCTGTTTACAGTCACACGATGAGCATCTTCCTGCCTTAGATGTTACTTAACTGTGACAGGGTGAGGGACATCCTTCGGATCCTGTGTCCAAGCCCAAGGCCCTCTGTATGTGTGAGGTGGGGCCTGAAGGTCACGCCCCCCCACGCCCTGGGACGGCCTCTTCAAGTCCTGTCCAGTCTTCCCAGGTGCCCCACACAGTGTCGCCTCTCCCTCGACGCTTGTGGCAGCTGCATTCTCTTGTTTATGTGTCTCTGCTCCGCTCCTATGGCCAGGGGTGGGGTGTGTAGGTGGTAGGGGGGCACAGGGGGGATGACACAGCTAAATTCAGCCCCATTTCTAGTCCTTATCCAGACAGGCACAGGAAGGATTTGCAGATCTGAATTACATCAATTGCTTAGAGTCACGTAGACCCTTCTCTAGCTGACCCAGTGAAAGCCAGTTGTGTGCTAGGTTCCAGGGGGGCAGGTGTGGGCGTGGGTCATTGGGAGGCCAGGACCAAAGACAGCAGGCCCTCAGGCCCCATGTGTGGGCATGCATGCACGTGTGTGTTCATGTGTGTACAGGCATGCGCACATGGGGACATGGGCATTGAGCGTGTGTGTGGAGCTGTGGGCATGCTGACTGCCCTGACTGGAGAGGAGCCCTGTCCTCTCTAAGCCCTCTTTCTGGCTCGCTTTTCCTTGTGGTACCTGTCACTACCTGACATTGTATTAAACATCCATTTATAATCACTTTCTTGTATCTCCCCCACTAGATGTCTGGTCCAGGAGGAAAGTCTCTGTCTAGAGTGTTCAGTGGCATATGTGCCTGTAGCACCTGGGACACAGCACGAGAAATCAAGGAACATGTGGGGTAGATAATTGGATGGATGGATGGATGATGGATGGATGGATGGATGATGGGTGGATGGATGGATGGATGGATGATGGATGGATGCATGCATGCATGCATGAATGGGTAAGAGGGTGGATGGATTTGAGGGTGGATAGGTGGGCAGGTGATTGGATGGATGGATGGATGGATGGATGGATGGATGGATGGATGGATGAGCACCTGCATGGGTGAGAGGACAGATGGAGAGAGAGATGAGTGGGATGTGGGTGGATCCATGCATGGGTGGATGGGTAGATGGAGGTGGATGGATGGATGAGGTGGTGGGTGGATGAATGGATGTCTTCTGGTGTGACTATGTGTCCACACACATAGGTCTTGACACCAGAAGACATTTCAGGCTTCTTCTATAGCTTTTCCAGAAGACCCGGGCAGTCCTATACTCCAGGAGCTGTGAAGGTCCATGGATGTGTGGAGAGGCTGCGGTGGTTGAATCTGCCTGGAAGGTCAGATTCAGCTGTTGGATCAGAGCCATGTCAGGGCTTCCCCAGGCAGGAGTGGGCTGAGGACTAGAGCAATGTGGACAGGGAGGGGTTAGTGCTGACCTGACAGGCCGGTTTACCTTGGACCTTGAAGGATCCCACAAATGATGCTTTTGCTCAGGCAGCAAAGCCCCACAAGGCTAGATCTGAGTCTCTGGAGCTCACACAGGCTGCCATTAAGAACAGTTCCCACCGGGGTGGGGATCAAAGGTGAGGATCCTGAGGACCCTGGGGGCAAGAGGCATCCATCTAGCTGGTCCTGGGAAGAGAAAGCAGTCTGAGCCAGGGCTGTGCTGGAACTTGAGCTGAGATTGTCCTGTCACCTCTGGAAAAGAGAGGCTGCCCCCCATTTCCCGTGGCACCAAGCACTTACAGTTCTTTCCTTCTGGCTAGCAGCTCACCCCCTGATAAGCTCCCATTGGCCCATCCACTTGTATGTCCATCTTCTTTCCTACTCATCCTTCCTTGGGCCTGTCCATCTGTCCTTTCATACATCTGCCTGTATACCCATCCTCACCATCCTTGCTGGCAAGCACTACACACAGCTCTCCCTGTGTTTCAAGCTGTCCTCACAGCAACCCTATGAGGAAGAGACTATCATTAGCCCCATTTTCCAGATGAGATGAGGAAACTGAGGCACAGAGAGGTTAAGTCACTTCCCCAAGAACATACAGCTTACAAATGGCAGAGCTTTTTGACTTGACAGGGTGAGCTCCTAATCTCTCAGCTGTCGGGTCCACCCATCTATCCACCCTTATAACTGCCCATCACTCGGTCACTTCACTCACCTGTCACGGTCCATCCAGTGGCCCATCCATCCATCGCTGTCACCCATCCATCCTGAGGGTAATGCAGTTAGAGAACCAGGGGCCCTGAGGGAAGAGGAGGCCCAAACTGCCCATCTGGCTGGGATGGGGTGGACTGTGGGGGTGGGGTGGGCTGTCCCCTGGGCAGGGCTGCATGGGGCTGGAGGGAATTAGCCGGGTGACTGCCAGGATCATCTAATTAGGAACGCTAGTGATAAGCAGATAGGATCGGGGGTGATTAGAATCCTTTTAAAAAGCCACTCCATTAATTACAGAGACAGAGAGGGGCCTCTGGCTGCCCAGAATACCAATTGGCTGCCTAATCGGCCTCCATCAGCTCACCCTGGGGAGGGTTCCTGGGACTGCTGTGTGACCTTGGGTGTGCCCTGCCCTCTCTGGGCCTTCCTGTGCACCGGGTCAGGCTTTGCCTGGGACCATCCAGTTACCCAAGGTCCTTGTTCTCTTTGCAGGGCATAGCTCAGGGGCTCGGCTTTAGGGCGGGACCAGCAATAAGGGGCCTTGGAGCAGGGAGGTGAGGCTGGCATCCCAGAGAGAGGAAGCCCCGAGAAGGAGGAGTTTCGACCCCACTGCAAATGAGGCCAGAGACGCAGAGAGAGAAAGTGACTTCACAGTCAGTGACAGTCCAAAGTGCGGAGGCCTGAGCTACTGCTGGATGTGCTCATCCCTGTCCCTCCATGCAGGTCCCGTGGGTGGATCCCAGGGGTCCCCGCGGCCCCACCAGTCTCTGCTTTAGGCCCAGAGACACTGGTCTGAACCCTTTGCAGAAGGGAAATGGCTTCTGCATGCTGCCACCAAACTCCACATTACTACCTCCCGTTATGGGAGCTTGCCCCACACACCCTGACAAACTTGGGGGGCCCTTCATCTGGGCACAGTGAGGAGCTGGGACCTTCCTCCAAAGGGTGGGCCTCCACTCAGGTCCTGCTGGCTGCTCTGCTCCCTGAGCTCGACAGTCCCGCACCTAGTCTTGTCTTCACCCCACCACCTCCACCAGAATCTCTGCTGCCACGACTTTCCCATCCCCGCTCCACGGCAGCCTCGCCACGGCTGAGATCGCCACCGCCATGTCCGGCTCAACCACCGCCCCCACCTCTGCCTCATCATCAACTCTGTCACCACCGCTGCTTTGTCTGCCTCAGTCGGACTCACTGCCCCTTGACCTCTCCCACCACCACCCTCACCCCCAATACCTCCTCTGACGTCACGCCATCACCACCCGCGTCAGCACATCATCATCACGCCCACCTCTACCACGACTGCCACCGTGGAGCCACCGTCCCCAGGATCACGGGCACGGCTCCTGACTGCGAAGGCGCGAGGACATTTGCTACCTCGGCTCAACCGCGAGCCGGGGTAAGTTCAGGGAAGCAAGTCGTCACGAAGGTCACAGAGTGAGTGGATCTCGACACCATGCCTGATGCCTCTGGAAACCCCAGATACTCTGGAAACTCCCCCTGGATATCCCAGAAGCTGCTGCAAACCTTTTCATTTGCCTACAACTGCCTCTTTCTCTTTCCACTTTCCAAACCTCTTTCACTGGCAGCCTCTAGTCTGGAAGCGCAGGGGTAAAGGAATTCTGGAACATCTTCTGGAGTTGTCTGGGACGCAGAAGAGGCCATAGAAGTGTGGTGGCAATGCTGAGCTAGCAACAGAAAATCTAGAACCCCGCACCTCCAATATCATCATCACCGTTAGTGCCTGTCGCTGCCCCCCGTGTCATCCCTCCATCCCTGACACCTCCGTTAATAGTACGCCGCCTCCCCATCACTGCCTCTGGTGGCGCTGGTACCACCCCTCGGCCCCCATCACCAGCAGTACCACCGCATCTGTCACCTCTTCCCGGAAGCATGTGGAAGTGTGGTCGGCAACCTCCTCCCTACTAGGACTGTGCCTCCCCAGCTATTGCTTTGAGACTTGCAGAACCATCGTGAAGTAGCCTCGTTCCCCACCCCTGGACTGGCGTTGACCACGTGATGTGAGCAGGAGTGACGCGCATCCCATCCCCAAAGTCAAGAAGCATCCCGAGTGCCACCAGCTCTCACCTGCTGGTGGCACGAGAAGGGCATGTTCCAGGCCAGAACTGCTTTTAGCCTGGGCTCCAGAAGGGAAGACGTGTGCGTTGGAGCTCATGGGTGCTGACGAGCAAAGTGGGCAAGAAGTGAGTATCTTCAGGTGCTGGGACGCAGGGCTGTGGCTGTAGGAAAGCTGAGCAGCAGGCAGACCTTCTCCCTTGCCGCCTTTATCACCGCAGCGCCACCCTCACCACTGCCAGGACCACCGTCTCCACCGCCGGGACCACCATCTCCACCGCCAGGACCACCGTATCCACCGCCAGGACCACCCTCTCCACCACCAGGACCACCGTCTCCACCGCCAGGAGCACTGTCTCCACCGCCACTCACACCAAGAGCTGCGTGAGCAGCATCTCCAGCACCCAGCACTTCTCTGCCACCACCATCACCACCCCATCACCCTGGTCTCACCGGTATGCCCAGTCGCCATCTTTAACACCTCCCTGTGTTCCTTCCACCACAGCACCACGACCGTCACCACCGGTGTCACCAGGAGCATGTCAGCATTGTCAGCTCCACCACTGCCGCCCAGAATACACAGTACCGTGCCCCGATCACCACTGTGCAGGCCACCGAGGCCACGGGGAACTGGGCAGGGCGGGCAGCTTGCCCCAGCCCAGCCTGTCAAGAACAGGTTCTAACCACGGCCACAGAAACAGTCACAAGAGCTCGGGCAGGTTGGCGTCTGTGGCTGCGCCCAGGGAAGTCCCGTGGCCCTGCGCTTCCTCTCCCTGGTGCCACGGGTCAGGTGTGCGGTTCCGAGGGTGGGCGGGGAGGGCGCAGAGGCCAGTGGTGGGCTCAGCAGCCTTGGGGGGGCGGCACTCCAGGGCTGGCTGGCGAAGGGTCTCCAGACGCTGCGTTCATCCCAACCGGCATTTGGGATTGTGTAGAACACGCTGCTGCCCGCCGGTGCCGCAGCTTCGCAGCAGGGAGAGTGGAAGGAAAGAGGCAGGAGGAGGGATAACAGCTAGGGATGAGACTAGAACCAGGGGAGGGAGGGAGACGGAGGTCGGGGAAGGCTGCTTTCCTTAGGACTTCGCTTCGCGATCCTGGCTGAGCGCCTGCTGAGTGGGCCCGCTGGCAGGTGAGCGGGAGAGCCATGCGGTGGCGGCAGGAGACTTCAGGCCTTGTGATGACTGTGCGCAAATAGGACCCACCACCAGACAAGAGGTGCAGGAGCACAGCCGCCCAGGAGCCTGCCTTATCGGTTCCTAGGGCTGCCGAGAACCAGTCACAGTGTGGGTGGCTTAAAGCAACAGCCATTTATTCTCTCCGGGTTCTGGAGGCTCAGTGCCCAAACCCAGGGCTGGGCAGGGCTGCACTCCCTCTGGAGGCTTGCTCGAGCCTTCTAGCCCTGGGACTGTCCTGCACCCCTCCATTTCTGCCTCCATCTCTCGGTTACCTGTCTGTCTCTCGCGAGGACACTGGCTGGGGACTTGGAGCCCACCCAGATAATCCAGGGTGGTCTCATCCCAAGAGCCTTCGTTTAATTACATCTTCAAAGACGATTTTTTCCAGATAAGGTCACAATGAACGGTTTCAGGGATTCTGGGACAAGGATGTGTCTTTTGTGGGCTGCTGCTCAACCTAGTAGTCACTCTACTTAGGTTCAATTCCCATCTTCTCACCAGAACTGGGTGGAATGCTTCTTTTTAACTTGCTGTCCGTGACAGCCCCAAGCAGCCCCGGGTTCGCACGCCCCTCCCTCTCACTGACTTGCTGTGTGACCTTGAACATGGAGCTGCATGTCTCTGAGTCTCATTCATTCAACAAATGATTCTGATGGCCGCCATATGCCAGGCACTGTCCTACACACTGAGAAATCATCCAACTTCTGTGGGGCTCACCTCTGAGGATCTGGTGGCATAGGAACTTCTGTCCCTACCCCCACTCTGCCTGGTCCCTCCACCTCACACTCCTCACTCCATACCAGTATCCCAGTCACTGGGCTCGGTGGACACATCCCTCAAGCCGTCTCTCCCTCCTGGACCACTATTGTTGACCTTCACTGCCCACCTAGTGCAGAACCCATGGCTAATCCAGCCTCTGCTCCCCAGCACCCAGGGGCTCGGCCAGAGCCCATGCTCTGGATTCCCAGCCACTATGGCAGCAGGCCTTCTTCCAGGGGCCCCGCCCCACCCAGGGGCTGATGTCACAAAGAGCCAGGCCGCAGCTCTGGAGGGGGGCCTGCCAGGCCTGGCCCACGGTGACAGTGTCCTTCCCCTCCCCCCACCCCCTGGTGGAAGGTGCCCGCCTGTCCCTGAGACCGGGGAGGGACTATGAAAAGGTAAACTTGCCGGGCAGAGTCGTGCCCGGAGCCAGCAAATTCCAGCAAGGTCCTGCTGCTGAGGGGCCGGCACCAGCTGCTGCCTCCTCCGCGTCCATCCCCCGCCGGGCCCGGTGCCCACGCCACCGTCTCGCCCCACTGTACCCCCCTCCCCCGGCATGGCTAACTACTACGAAGTGCTGGGCGTGCAGTCCAGCGCCTCCCCAGAGGACATCAAGAAGGCCTACCGCAAGCTGGCCTTGCGCTGGCACCCAGACAAGAACCCCGACAGCAAGGAGGAGGCGGAGAAGAAGTTCAAGCAGGTTTCCGAGGCCTACGAGGTCCTGTCTGACTCCAAGAAGCGCTCCCTGTACGACCGGGCAGGCCGCGACGGCTGGCGGGCCGGCGGCGGGGCCAGCCACCCCTACAACAGCCCCTTCGACACCGGCTACACCTTCCGGAACCCCGAGGACATCTTCCGCGAGTTTTTCGGTGGCCTCGACCCCTTCTCCTTTGACTTCTGGGACAGCCCCTTCGGCAGCGACCGTGTGGGCCGGGGCCACGGCCTGAGGAGCGCCTTCTCCTCCGGCTTCGGCGAGTTCCCGGCCTTCATGGAAGCCTTCTCCTCCTTCGACACCCTGAGCCGCGGGGGCGCCGCCAGCCGGACCACCTTCTCCTCCACCTCCTTCGGGGGCCCCGGCTCCGGCAGCTCGGGCTTCAAGTCGGTGATGTCGTCCACCGAGATCGTCAACGGGCACAAGGTCACCACGAAGCACATCACGGAGAACGGGCAGGAGCGCGTGGAGGTGGAGGAGGACGGGCAGCTCAAGTCCGTGACCATCAACGGCAAAGAGCAGCTCAAGCGGGTGGACAGCAAGTAGGCGCCCGCCCGCCCCCCAGGCCCCCGCCCGCCCCCCAGGCCCCTGCCCGCCGGCCGGCTGCACGCTCGCCTCGCAGGCCTCAGACGCTGCTGATGGTTAATAAATGTGCCAAGTGAGTTCATGGAAACCGCTCACGCAGCTTTGTGGGGGCTGCTGGTGGCGGTCGCCTTGGTGGACGTGCTTGGGGCTGGCCGGGGCCCGAGTGGACGTGCAGAGGAGCGCGGGGCAGTGGGCCTGTGGGCGCTGTGCCCTGCAGTCAGCTGTCGGCGCCGGGAGCACAGGGCTGGCTCTGCAGTGGCTCACCATCTCTCCTGGTTGTGCATCCGGGTCAATAAAGACCGTGAGTGTATATTCAAGCCCCTGCCTCCACGCCCATCCGCCCCAGCGCAGGCCAAGTCCTCTCCCCGGGGCCTCCAGCTCCAGCTCTCATCCTGCCCCGAAGTGCTTCACGTGGCCGCCCTGCCAAAGCCGGAGTCGCATCTCGCTCCCTGCCTTGCTTAAACCTTTGGTGGCGCCCTCTGCTCTAAAGCATAAAGACCTCAGGCCTCCCTCTCATGGGAGGCCCTTAGGAAGGGATTGTTCTTCTCTTCAGGTCTCCTGCTCCCGCTTGGTGCTCAGTCCCGGCCCTGCCCTGGAAGAGGGGCATTCGCACGGCAGGAGCTCTGAGGGAGGTGGCTGGGGTTGGCGGGAGGTTGGAGGCACCATCCTCTGAGGGAGGAGGCTCAGTCTGAAGAAAGACAGCCTTGTGGAGCCGCCCCTCTCCCCAGGTGTCTGCAGGGCTAGTTCAGGCCAGGCGTGCGTGTGGGTCTGAGGCCCAGAGGTCAGGCCTGGACCCACCAGAGGGACGAGGAGGGTGTCCTAAGGAACCAGCCTCCCCCTCAGCCAGAGCAAGGCAGGCTCCCCATGATGGAGGAGTCCGGTGCTGAAGAAGGGGAGCGGGGTTCTGATAACCTCTGGCCAACTGAGTGTCAGCCTTTTAAAAAGTATATTTTTATTTTGGAATAATCTCAAGGTGCCAGATGTGTCGGGCACTTTTCACTCAATGAATTCAAGAATGTAGGCTGAGCACTGTTGAGAGCCAGGCAGAGTTCTGGTCCTGAGGGTCGGGAGTGGGCCAGACGCCTGCCCTCAAGGAGCTGATGCTCCGCTTGGGTGCAGAGTTGTGGGTCGTGGCGCTAGGGAGGGCATGCTGGCAGGCACGCTGATGGGGAGGGTCAGGCTGCGGGGAGGAGACTTTCAGGCTGATGGTCCCAGAAGGCCTTTTTCAGAAACTGGGATGCAAAGGAGACCACAGAGCATGTGGCTACCTGGGGGAAGGACCCTGGGCAGAAGGCACAGCAAGTGAGAGGACCTTGAGGCAGGAGCAGGCTTTGCTTAAGGACCAGGAGGAGGTCAGTGAGGTGAATACACTGTTCCAATTAGTGCCACGACTCTCCAGACAGGGGTGGTTGAGCCTTGTTACACGGGAGGAAACTGAGGCACGGAGAGGAAAGGTTCCCATAGCTGGTAAGTGGCAAAACCAGAATTTCACCCAGGGTATTGACTTTAAAATAATAATAATAGCGACAAAGTAAGGTGTGCATGTGTGTACGTGTGTGTATGTATGTGTGTGTGTGTGTGCGCATGAAGGACTGGTATGCTGGCAATTCCTGGCTCCTCGGGGCTGCAGTGGAGCCAGAGAAGGGACTGCAGGTTTGAGGGTTCAAGGCAGGGACTCTGGCTCTCAGGCTGAGTAGAGGGGGGTGTGGGTGTGGCCAGGAAAGGGACTGTGACTGCCTGGGACCAGGTCAGATTTTGCTCTTTTTTTTTTTTTTTTAAGATTTATTTATTTATACAAGAACTGGGGTACAGGCCAGAGGCGCGGAAGGGTGAGAGGATTCACCAGGGACACAGCAGGGAGCAGAACAGGTTGATGGACCGAAACCACTGCTGAAGGGAGCAGCCCGCGAAAGAGGAGAGGTCTGCCGCGCCATGTGGGTATCTCCCTGGCCAGCCAGGAATTGAACCCGCACTGTGCTCAACCTGCTGCACCACTGGGGAGGCCCATATTTGGCTCTTCATGTATCTCAGGCTGCAGCCCAGTGGCAGGTGTGCGCTGAAGTCAGGTAGGAGCAGACTGCTCCAGGAAAGGACCAAAAAACACCCTGAGGACAACTTCTGGAGCTCATAGGGGAGAAGACACTGGGAGGCCTTGAACCTTGGGGCAGGGGAGGGAGAAAGGGTAGGGCCTGATCAAAAACAGACCCAGGGAGGATGTCACCCCCATTTCCAGATCAGACCTGGAATGAGCAGCACCTGTGGGGGATGGCTGCAAGTCTGGGTGCTGTTCCCCGAGGACAGCCCATTGAAGGGCTCTTGCAGGAAGCCAAGGAGTGCCACCCCAAGATCTCTAGGGGTTGCAAAGCCCCTTGGGAGTGCAACTACCCCGGCCAAGAGGACACAGTAGGCAACCTGGCTGCTCGGCCATACCTCGAGTGCAGGAACCCCTGGGACAGGCCAGCAGCTGGAGCCCCTAACCACGTTACCCAAGGGGCAGGAGAGCCCGGTGAGGCACAGAAGGCCGAACCCCAGCTCCCAGTCCTGCAAGGGGACTAACTTCATCAAAGCCCCCACTATAGCATTAACCACCTGACCTCTGCCCCCACAGACCTGCTAATTTCACCAATTACGGCCAACCGCGGCTGCGTCAAGTGGGCCTGCTTAGCTCCGACAGCTGCTGGGCAAATCCAATTACGGCCCAGCAGCCCTGGCAGCCACCCGGCCACAGGCTGGGTGCACGGCAGAAATCTGGGTGCTTGCAAGGCACCTGAACACCCCAAGAACCCCAGGGTTGGGGCTCACTGTGTGGGCTCCTTTCCTTTCACAGCACCCCTTCTCCCCAACTCCTCCCACTGCTACCGAACGCCAGGTGCTGGCAGGTAATGTACTCGCTAAGGCGGCCACATGGCCTAGCTCCATCTTTGAATCCTGTCTCACCTGTAGCCCCATCTTTCGGATGGAGAAACTGAAGCCCGGACGGGTTGAAGTGAACTTGGGAGCACACCCAAGAGAAACCCAGCTCCCCAAACTGGCATCGGAGGCCCCTGTGCCTTCCCAGGGTATGTTCTTCCTGGACACAGGTCCTGCCTGCTGCAGACTCTTTCAGGGTCCACGTCTTGCATGTGCTGTCCCCCCAATCCAGGCCACCCTTCCCATGTCCTCTAGGTCTGTTAAGTGCATTTTGGAGGCCCTGCTTGGTGCCACCACCTTGGGGGGGGCCTCCTGAGCCCCCAGTTCCGGATGTTCTGGTCGAGGGAACTTCACTAGGCTCTGGTATGTGTGTCAGGTGCTGGGACTGAAGCCTCGAGGGAGCCTGGGGCCTCCTGCCGAGCCCCCCAGCATGCACATGCTGCTTGGACCCGCTGGTCAGGCCCAGCACTGTGCCCCCGCAGGAGGGCCCTGGGGCTGGGGGCTGTGTTGAGTTGTGTTTTGCTGGTCTAGCTCCAGCATGGATCCGGACACAAGGGGGCTCCTGAGTATGTGTGTGGGGGGGTCCCTCGTTCCCTTGTGCTCTCCTGGACGTTGTGCCTGCCTCTTCCCAGGCTTCCTGCCTCCTCCCTTCCCCGCCTTCATACTGTGCTCATCCCTGCAGTTAGAAGAATCTGGTGAAAACCTAAGAGACACTTCAGAGTAAAAGCCAAAATCTGCAGAGTGGCCCCAAAGACCCCCACGACCACCCTGGCTTTCCTGTTGCTCTCTTTGCTCCAGCCCCACTAGACTGGCCGCCCCACCCACCCACCCTCACACCAGCCTCAGGACCTTTGCATCCACCGTGCCCTCTGCCTGGAACAATCCTTCCAGATCTCCACATGGCCCTCTCCTCTGCCCCCCTTCAGGTCTTGGCTCACCGCCCCCAACCTCCCCCTCACTCTGTGCGACAACCCCTCCCCACCTGCTCCAGCCTCAGGTCTTCTGGCCGGGTTACCTGGATGCCTACCTCCACTGAGCTCAGGGGGACCTCCTCACGGAGAAGGTTCCCTCCTCCACACACCCTCCTGGATCCCCTCACCTGCCAGGCCCCTGGCAGCCCGCAGGGACCCAGAGCCTGGAGGGGCCGTGTTCTCCCTGTCACTGGCGGGACAGAATGGTGTCCGAGAGGGTCTCTCCTTGGGCGCTGCAGGCTCCTTAGTGGGTCTGCCCCTCTCTGCTGGGAGGAGCTAGGGTCCGGCCGGGCAGCAGCGCCTCAGGGTGGTGGTGGGGGGGGGTTGCCCAGGGTTCCGGTATCTGGGGAAAGGGTGGGTGTAATGTTCTCAGCTCCATGGAGCCCCCCCGCTAGCACTGTGCCTGCACACTCTCCCTGGAGACTAGCACCGACGCCAAGAGAAGCCTGGCTATTTGCTCCCATTTTACAGATGGGGAAACTAAGGCTCCGAGGGTTAGAGACCCGTCAAGGTCACACTACCTCAGGGGGAGCCGGGCCAGCCATCCCCATGCTCTCCCCCTGCACCCCTGCCTGGGGCGGGGTGGGTGGGGCCCAGCAGCCTCACCAGCCTTCCCTCCCTTTGGCCAGTCGATGTTATCACAGCTGATTTAATTTCAAAGACGGATTGAGCTGTGGCGGGAGGGAGAGTGGCTAATCGCAGCCGCCATCTGCCCTGTTGTCATGGGGATGGGCTCCCAGCAATTGTGCAGGGGCTGGACCCAGATAAGGGCACCAGAGTGGGTGGAGGGGACTGCTGTGGGCGGGGCGGGGCTGGGCCCGGAGATGGGAGAGCAGGCAGAGACACAAAAGGAAGGCGAGACCAGAGACCCCAGAGGCAGGGACAGAGGGGCTCAAGGGACAGAGAAGCAGAAGGGCCAAAGGAGGCAGCTTGAGGGTGCCCAGGCGAGGAGAGAGGTGGACGGGCCCTGGGAAGCAGCGGTGGCATGGATGCACCTCTGGGGGCTGCAGTGAGGGCCCCCGCTGTGCCCCTGGCCACCGACTCCTGCTCTGGTTCCATCCCTACTGAGCCACTGCCACAGGCCCCCACAGCAGTGCTCCCGCAGGGCAGA